TAGTTAAGTGATAATTTCTGAAAATAAATTTTAATTAGATCCTGAGGATTATATGCTTTTCACAAGTAATTTGTGATGTAGAAGATATTTTGAAAAATTTGTTTATTTGTTTAATTTTACCCTGTACAAAACGCGTATTTGCATTATTTTCGTGACCGTATAAATATCGTCATACCTACTATAAATTATTTACAGTATATCTAGTATTAAGTTAGCTACATCTATTCGTGCGCCCCACTATACTACGTACTGGCACAAACTTACTACAGTATAAATGTTTTCTTACCATAGCATTAACAGCACATTTCAGCTAATGTGTGTTTAGACTTCAAACGACATTTACAACAAACTGTAAAAACAAATCCATATACCCATACTGAAAAACTTGTGTAAACAATTCCACAATCAAGAGGAATTAAGTGAATTTTAAATAAAACAGATAAAACCAATTACATATACATTGAAGAGGAATGGATATACATAAAATAAAAGGAAAAACCATTTGGCGTGAAAACTAATTAACTGTCTTATCAATCATAAAGTTAAAGGAATGTTAGTTTTGGGCAAGTATTCACTGCAGAGATTTTTTATACTTCTCATGAACGTGAAGTGGTGGGTGGCTTCGTGCTACGTCGTCGTCGAGGTTGTTGTTGTTGTTGTTGTTGTTGTTGTTGTTGTTGTTGGTGGTGGAGGTGGTGGTGGTGGTGGTGGTGGTGTTGGTGTTGGTGTTGTTGTTGTTGTTGTTGTTGTTGTTGTTGTTGTTGTTGTTGGTGTTGGTGTTGTTGTGGTTGTTGTTGCCACTAAGGCTAAATTGTGACATTCGCGTTGTCATAACAAGTGAGTTGTAGCGCCTACACAACCCAGCCTACATCGGCTACTTCCTCAATCGTTGTCTTTAAGCTCAACTAACGGTAAACCCGGGAAGCGTGCAGCTTCTATGTGCTTTGTCCATAGGCGTTAGTTGAGTGGGGCTTTGTGGGCATGCGAAGAGAAGTCTCTTAATCGTGCGGTGTCTCCGCATGCCGGGCATTCGTTGGACACATCTACATCTAATCTGCAAAGGTACGAGTTTAACCTGCTGGAGTAGCCAGAGCGTAATTGATCTATTGTGGTTCGAGTCTTCCGAGGCAGACTAAGCTCTGTCTCGTCCACATCTGGTGATTGTGTTCGCAAAACAGCATTCACAGGTCGAGAGTCAGTGTAGGTCAGAACTGGGCACGAATCGCGCCATTCGTGATCGAAAGATTACTCGTTTCAAATCGAATAAAATGGCTGCTAGTTTCTCCCCAATACAAGTTGCGTTCCCTAACTCACAAGAAGTTGCAAGAATTTACAGGAATTTACCAGAAAGCGTTCCCGTATTCGGTTCTCTGGTAAAGTAGGGGAAAAATGGAAGAGTAAAATCGATCCTCTCTGTTGCCAGATTTTACCCGAAGAATTTTTGTTTGTTCGTCTAAAATTCAGCAAGAATTATCCAACACTCAAAATATCAGAGAGTAAGAAAAAATTCTCTCAAATTCTCTCTCGTGTTGAGAAACAGGCAAATTTCCACACGAACGCAAATTTGCATGAATTTGCAATTTATGTTGCCAGCTGGTGTTCACGGTTGCATTTCAAACAATATTTATAGAATTATTAAAATTCTTACAGATGGACAAAAACAGGCGGGCTACCATGAACGAAAGACACAAGATCACGCCTTAAGGAAAGAAAGAAAAAAGTTATTTTCTAGCTGTTGAAATCTCGACGCCATCTTTGTTGTAAGAAGTAAACAACGAAGAGAACAAAAAAAAAAACGCGTAATTGTTGAAAGCATGAATAATCATTTTTATTATGCAAATTCTCCTATAAATCATGTCGTTGTGTTAAATTATTCTTTACCTTATGTGTGCGCACGTTGTCACAAGCGAAAATTAAGAAAATTGCAGTAAAAAGCCACCACCAAATTGTAAACAACGAACAAATGGAAACAAACGGCTTATGTCAAAATCGCCCTACTTTTTTCATAAGTGCGATTATAACGGGCGACTCTTCTGCTGTCGTGATCTTGTCTTTTTGGTTCATGGCGGGCTACTCTGTAATGCGATGCAAAAGAGAAATGCGATGCGATAGGCAAATATGTCGTAAGAAATACGCTGTGGCGATTCCCTATCGCATCGCATTTATATATATATATATGTACATGTATATTTCTTGTTGCTCTGACTGTTTTTGTTAATATACATTACAATTTCTTTATCGTACCAGCTGTTGGGTTTCTTAAATCGATTCTGGTTGCAATTTCATTCCGATTGCGAATACAATTGTTTAGCTGTTAGTTCAAAACATTGGAATTAACTAAATTAATTATATCAACAAGTACATATATACTTCCTTTTTTCATATAACAAAATCGCTCGTGTTTATATATTTTTAAATTTAACGAACTTATTTGTTCAAATTACCGTACACAAAAATGCAACCATGTGCCACAATCATAGTTGCGATCCCGTACGAGTCCGGACTAGTCAGAATCAGTCAGATTTTACTGGAAATCGATCCCGTACTCGGTTCTCTGACTATTGAGAGGACAAAAAAGAGAGTAAATACGGTTCTCTTTCTGTCAGAAGTTACCAGTTTTAGTCCGAGAATTGTTTGCTGGTAAATTCTGGTAAATGTGTCAAACGATCAGCTGTAGTGTGTTTGGCAACCAAATTGTAAACAAAAGAAAAGTGCACTCTGATAATTCTTGTTGAAAAGTATTTAATTACTTGTTTAAGTGGATTCTAATGAATTTGAAAGTATTTTTGGTTATTTACATGTGTTAGCTGAGTGTGTTTACATACAAAATAAGCAAAAATTTACAACCAAAATTTGGAGGTTATGTTGAAGTTGACAGAAGTTACCATTTTTTACTAGAAAGCGATCCCGTACTTTTCAATGTTACTCTCGCGTTATGAGTGAATTTTTATTTTTTGACAGTTTTACTAGTCCGAGTCCGAGGAATACGGGATTGCACTTCATATGTTTTTCATGATTGCAAATTCTTGCTGGCTAAAATTTTTCCAGTAAGAATTTGCAACTTCGCTCAGAAGAACTGTCACTTTGCGCTCTCAGTTTTTGAGTGGTGGATAATTTTTTTTACAAATTCATTACATACATTTTTTCGTACAAATTCATAAAAATTTTTTGCTCGACGAACAAACCTAATATCTATCTACCCAATAAACATTTAGGTTTGAGCTCAACTTGAGGCTAAGTTGAGAACTAAGGTAATTCTCAAATTTCCAACGTTGTTTCTCAACAGTACCTCAAGTTGAGGATCATAGCGTTCTCAACAATAAGGGCATTTTTCTTTGTATGAAAAAAGGACTGTTTCTCAAGTAGAACGTTGGTTCCAAATCAAAAATTTCTGCATTTTCACCACAAAGGAAGTTACTGGACATTATGTAAGACGTTGTTGCAGGGGGCATTTACA